GTTAATGATAGGCGGCTTCTTTTCTTTTGGTTTGATCTCGTGTCCGATCTTACGGCTTGTATACACGGGGCGAATATCAATTCCAATTTTGCGGCCTAGTTCCCCGAGTTGCCTTCGTGCGGAATTGGCCGATCTCTGATCCTTGAATGGTAACACTATTCTGAGAGGCGCTTCATTTACATGCTCGTGTGGAAATTGGATTGCCAGAAACTTTCTTGGTGACAAAATTACTGATGGTCGATTGCAGCAGTTGGGTTGGGTACTGAAGTCGGGAAAACGTCTGTGTGAGACGATCACCTTCCAAGTGGAACAGTTGCCAGGTAGATGACACTTTAAAGGCACGATCCAGCATTGTCTTTAACAATGACTTCGTGTATCTAACATCGACGTGGCTCTTGTAATGTAGTAATGTTCCGGTGTCAGTTGGTTTTCTGTACTCCCTTATCTCCAGGCGACCATTGCATTTCCTGATCTCCGTTCCCAGGAAAGGAAGTCTACCGTGTTCGCCAAGTTCCATGGTGAAGCTGACAGATGGATGGCTCTCATTTAGAGAGGAAAGGAATGCTTCAGCTGTTTCGGTGTCAGGCATTATGCTCAATGTGTCATCCACATGGCGTTTGTAGAACTCGAGTAACTTGCCTTGGTCCTGAAGTCGATCTTCGATACTGTACATAAATGCGTTGGCCATTAGGGGTCCCAGTGGCGAACCCATACCAACACCATCGGTTTGTTCATACAAACTTCCCTCAAACTGAAAAAGCTGGTTCTTGGTGGTTATATTTAGCAACTCTGCGCCGGGTAAGTCTGATTTTTAATGCTGAGATTATGCTGCTCATTAAATCAGTCATCCTTAAATGCCTTTTCAGCTAGAATCTGTATCGTCTCATCAACAGGGACAGCGGTAAAAAGGGAAGTTACTTCATATGAAACAAGGATGCTGTGATGTCATGGAGAACATCCACGAAATTAAAAACGTCACTGATGGTGTGATCGTTGACTGATAGAGGTTTAAGCTTTTCATCAAGCCATAAAGCCAACTTGTAATTATATGTCCCGGTTGCCGAGAGTATCGGCCTCATTGCTAGTTGTCGCTTGTTTTTTTGTTTTTGTTGTTTAACAAGTTAACTGTGAGACTACTGCCATTGAATTTCTCAAACTCTGTCAGAATTTTAATTTGACACCGACCTTTGCTAGGGTTGATCAGACTAAAGCGAACAAATGGAGGCGATCTGCTAAGGCCTTTGAAGGAAGCGTCGTTATCGAAGAGCTACGCCTGAAGAGGAAGCAATTAGCAGAGCTTAGGCTCGAAACTCAAGACGTTTACAACGAAATCAGAGCGAAATGTTCATCACTACGTTTCCTTTGTAGCCTGAAAACGATCGTTACTCTACGTAATGAACAGTACCGACAATCAATGACTGGCCACACCAAGATTTCAAGAGGGTGCACAACAGAGTTCTCAGATCCCGCTTTCCCGCCCATTTTTTCCTGTTAATCCCGCCATCCCGCCCTTTTTTACTTGGAAATCCCGATCCCTCCCACTTTTCAAAGACGTTTCTGCGTTAATTATTAATTTGTTAAATTAATAATTAATTTAATTACTGACACAGAAACCTTTTAAAAATAGACATCGCATAAAAGATCACAAAAGAATTCAATGGCTAGCAGATAAGTAAGAACAAATAATTATAACGTTTCTTTCTGTAATCGGTTTACTGTTTTGCTTTCTTTTGTCCACGTATCAGTGAAAGAAAATGATTGCTCATTCCCATATTCAAGAGATGGCCCGTCAATACACTTCAGAGTTTCTTTCAAAGCTTTCAGCGTCTTCACTTTCCTTGAAATCTGGCCTCAGAACTTTTCTTTCCGAATGAAGGCATTCTTGCTCGCA